ATAGATTTTTGGAAATAATAAACATGTTTAATGTACCATTTAGGAAATGATCAACAAATTACATCTTAAAAAGTATTAAGCTAATAATTTATATCATATTATATATATCACATGACCTAAAAATAGATCGCTTTAAATTTAAAGCTAGTTTTTTGTTTATTTTAATTTTTTAATTTATTTAAAAAAATTTTTTAGTCTCTGAGTCCCATTTTCCTAGCAAACCTCCCATATGTTTATTATTATTCAAAACTCCATTTGGTGTATTAGTTGCTGTATCAGTGTCTACAGAACATCCTTTAGCAAGAGACCAATCCTCATTTGTATGAACATTATATGCTGGAATAACTGTAGCGCCAGTAGCTCTACCTGGTAATGCTGATGCTGGAGTACCATCTGGTGCATTGATCATAGCACCATTTATGTTAACATTATTTAAGGCTACTATAGCGTCCATATTGGCTAAAGCATTTTCACATTTTACATGATTCAATTGCCATTTTTTACCTATGAGTTTATCTTCGATCTAACGTGATGTCTCATTTATCAAGCATGACCAAAATAGTTCTAAAGCTCTCTGTTTGTCATATGTATTAGCAGTAGTGATGTTGGCCGCTGTAAGATAGAGTCTGTAATCTTTTATGAATTCATCTATATCTTCATCTGCTCTACTTGAGAATCTTTTGGATGCATACCTTACCATTCCTATATGTGAAAGATTGTTTTATAATGCAAATATTTATCTTTGCAAATTTAAAATATTCAAGCGTTCTGCTTAAGTCTTATTTTTCCATTTTTCATATCGCTTATAGAGCCTGTTTCAATTATATTCTAATAAATCTATATCCTCTCTACTTTGTTGCAGGTGATAGACATTTCGCTGATATAGCAATTATAAGGCAAATTTTCTTGTATCAGCTTACCTATATGATTTTGCTTTCTTGTTATTCTATCTAACATTCTATTAACCTGATTTTGGCTATTAGTTCGCAATTGATGAAGATCACCAATAACTGTAACCATCCCTCCTTCAGCAAGTTGCCTTCGTATAATTTTATTGTCACGTCCAACTTCTGCATCATATCACCTTATCTGTTTTCAGATTAAATCCTGATGCAAATTATTTTCTTTTCGACGAATCTGCCTTGTTGCTCTCTTAATTTGATTTATCAGAATATCTCTAACCGTTATCCTATTATCTAAATAACCATCTATAGCATTTACTAGCTCTGTAATAGTAGCTATTTTTAAGTTATTATTAGGATTATATAAGTCTGGAAAATTCCCGCATTTTAGCATATTTTTCATGATAAGATGGTCTTGATCTGGCATCGCAATTTCTCAACTTACTCTTCAGATTCTTCCAAGCACTTTTCTAAATCAGAGATATAGTTTTCCTTATCTTGTATATCCTTTTTAGCTTGATATAGCCAACTTTTCAGGCTGGAGATTTCAGACTTCAACTCTTCTATTTCTTCTTTCGAAGCATTTTTAAGACGTTCTATTTCCCCATTAAGGGTCTGGATTTCTTGCTCACACTGAGAATAATCTCACTCCAGTTGATTAATTCGTCTTTCATTCTAATGATTACTATTAACTTCTGTTTGCAATTCACTACAAAGATGGTAGTTCTTCTCCTCCAGCTCAGCTTTATATTCTTCATTATCTTGGATGAGGTCTTCGAAATGTCATTCTTTTTTGTGATTATAAAAGAGAATCAGAATGAGCCAACTGCAAATTTTGATAGACCCTAATAAGACTTAAAGAATTGAAAAGAATATCATATTGCGTGAAATATATTATTACCCGATTAGCTATTATTCCAACTAAAGATAGTACAGCAATTGATTTTAAATTTACAAAATGTTGCAACATAAGCTAAAATTAGTTGCAACGTATGTTGCAACATTATAAGTTGTAATATATATAGGTTAAAACTAATTGCAACGTAAGTTGTAACATTAAAAGTTGCAACATATTAATTATAGTTCCTATCTTTAATTTTAAATATCTAAATTTATTAATAAAACATATGAAAAATCATTTTTTTTGAAATTTTGTATCATTTTATTTATTTATATAATTACTATTAAAAATTTTGTGATTTATAAGGCTAAATTGTTAAATGGTTTAAAAAAATATTCCTAAATTTTAAGTTTATTGTTATTATAAAACAGTAATAATAGATGTATTGCATACAAAAAATATATATATAAACTATTAATAAGAATTTATTTATATAATTTTAAAGTCTTTTATAAAACAATCATAAAAATTTTATATTAATTTTAATATTATAATTATTATTTAGCTTCAAAATTATTCATATTTTACAAAAAATCACATAATATTTAATGATTATCATAGAGATCTCAGAATTTTTTTATATGCTTTATTAATAAATTTAAAGGTATTTGGATACTTTTATCTGGATAGTGTAAATCTTTTATTAATTTTCAGTTATTAGTATTATAAGATAACATTATATTGGTTTGACAATTTCAAAAACCTTATTCTGGATTTAATAATATATATATTTTTAAAATTAAATATCTTGATTAATAATAATTATTTTATTTAAAATTTATAATTATAACTTAAATAATTTAGTAAAACTCAAATATTTAACTTAATCATAAAATTTGAATATTCTTCTGAATTTAATTTATAAGTTACAAGTTAATATGAGTTTGATTATTAATTGTTATCACTGGGAATAATTCTCTTTCTATCACATGTATTTCATTAAGTTACTTTTTACAACTTTAGAAAATCTCACGACTTATAGGCAAGGTTGGGAAGTACAGTGTTAGTACAATAATTAATACAGTTAGTACAGTTAGTATATTATATTAATTAATATAAAAATTAGTACAAGTACAATACAAGTACAGTGGTAATTTTATCTAGTACATACAAAATTCCCAACCCTGCTTATAGGTATCCGAAATGTCTTAGAATTACTTCACTTGATTTTATGAACTTAAAGATTTAAGGACTTAGTGAGAATTTATTTATTCTAAGTGACGAACTTAAAAGTAAGTTAATATAGTGATTTACAATCAAATTCTAGATGATAAACACATAAAAGAGAAAAGTAATATTTTTCAAAGTAGATTCTTTTATTTATTACTTGAATTTATAATAAAACTGAAACTCGCAATAAAGTTTTAAACTTGCAAATGGGTTAATTTACAACTAAAGCAAAATGCTATTCTATTTATACAAAATTAATTTGCTACAGTTAACTAGTTATTATGCTATAAACTAATTACATTTGTAATTATAAGTAATAATATAATGATAATAATAACGAAGATAATAATTAAAATAATGGAAATAAGCATTATGATAATTATTCAGCTTATAAGACTTATCAGGTGAATCCTAAAAATCCTAAGAATCCTAAGAATCCTATGGATCCAGAATTATGTAGATCTTCTAATTTGTGATCAACATAAAATTAATTTCAATAACTTCTGTAGATAATTCTTTGTAGATCACTTTTTAATAGTGAATTTTTAGCTAGTAACATTGTATATATAAAATAAAAGATAATATTTATAATTGATTTTTATTATTAAACAATTTAAGAAAAATAAATATACTTTAGACATATGTAAAATTAAATTGATATGTTTATATTATGTTTAAATATTTTATAATTGCAGTATTATACTTATATAGCATTTCTGATTCTAAAATGTTTTAATAAATCCATACTGATTAAATTGCATTATTTCTAGCATATCACATTCTAATCATTCTAATGTTTAAAAATATAAATTTCTCAGCTTCAACTTTATTATTATTACAGCTAATTTCATAATTCATGAAATATTAATAATTTTTCAATTGCATTCAGTTGCAATATTTTATAATAATTTTATTATAAAATATTTTTAATCACATTCAGTCGTAATTTATTAGTGGTTTACAAATTATGAAATTAGCTATAATAATAAATAATAAAGCAAAATTAGATCTTTTCATTCAGGATTCAATCAGTTTAATCTATAATTTAGATCTGGATTTATTTTGAAACTGATTATAATCAAATTAAACTGAATTTTTATAACTAGTTTTAACCACTAAACTTCAAGCATCAGAATATATTATAGTACTAGGAGAGAGCAATATCACTTTTTTTTATATAGTTAATGAATAATTGGTTAAAATTTTGCTATATCAGTGGCAAAATTTAATTAATCTATATGATATTGCTCATGTACATTATTGTTCAGCTTGATCATAACAAAAAGTTTAATATAAAGGATTATTTTAAATAAATAAATTATTTTAATTTAACTTACTTTTCACCCTTTGTTCTTAAAAAGCCTTCTTAAAGAAAGGCTAAAATTTTGCATTAATAAAATTTAATTTTGTTGTACTTTTATGATTAATTAGAAAAAGATAAAATTTGTTTGAAATACTAACCATTCAACAAGCTGATATGGCTTTTCAGCATGATTTACAATTATCAGGTAAATATAAAGATAGGTTTCAAGTTTAATTATAAATTTAAAAAATCGGCATAACAAAATTTTTATATTATTTACTACATTATTAGAAATACTAACTCGTCACCAACAATTCAAAAGAACCTTGCATTTTATTTCAAGAAATGACTATTAAAACATTCTTACAAGAAAATACTTTTAAATAAATTTTATAATAAAAAATATTTAAAAATATTTCCTGTTTACTAATCATTCGCCCATGATACTGTACATCGATATTTTACTGGATTTATTGTCAGAGTTGAATTTTCTGGAAAAGTATCAATATTTCGTCATTATCAGGATATATCATTTGAAAATTGTACTGGAAATTATTTATCAATGAATTTATTTAATATTGCATAGTGTTAAAATAATTCTAATTCTAATTCTAATAATAAGTCATTTTGATAATGACATTTGTTAAATCATTTATATTCAGTCACTCTTTTTTTTTAGTAGCAGCTACTTGATTTTCTAATATAAATAAATCTGAAATAAATGTAATCAAATTTTATATCTCCTCTTGTGGATAAAAATCAGTCATATTTTTTTGAAAATTTTCAAAATGTTCTAGCCATTTTTCATTGCTTTTTCTGTATATTGAGCACTTTAATTATTTTTTGATAATCGAAATTGCTTTTTCTAGTTCAATAATACTTTGATTTTGGGTTATAAATATTATTTAGAAGCTAATGGATAGTTATAATTATTTATTATTATATGATATTGTTTTAATTTTTAAAAGTTTATTTATTAAAGTTAGTAACACATGATATATTTATTTTGAAATCATTTTTTATCATAAGCGTTAGTAATCATGAAATATATTCACTTAATCGCTGATATCACAGGGATCACGACAGAGCCATGATTTCTGATGAAATCTTTGATTTTGCGGTAAATAACTATTACTTATAACACGTTATGGTCATATGTAATTGTATAATAATAAATATTTATAACTATGATGATAATAATAATTCTATTATCACTCTTAGAATTTAAATGGTAATTTAAACAAATGCTATAGATAATTATGGTAAAATTACAGAGTTTAAGTGTAAAACTTACTTGTATCTGCCTGAAATTTAAATTAATTTAATAGGATTTGAATTCAAAATTATATTTAAATTTTTTATAAATAATAGAATTGGTGTCCGAAAATATCGAAAAAAATAGATTAGTCATTTTTAACATTAACAATCAATAATTTCTAAGCTAAAAATAATAAGAATAAAAAAAATTTTATCTTTTTATTCAATGATTTTAGTTTAAAAGGTCACTTATTATGTAAGCAAAAAAAAGAGTAAAAAAATAAAATTGGGTTCTTTATACGTAAAAGTATTGCTAGGAAAATCATTGCTTTAAGAATAATGGAACTATCTAAACCTTAATCTGTAACAAATCTAACAAAAAAATTGAATTTGCTGGTTTGGTTCCAATCAACTCAAAAAAAATACTTTTTTACAGATAAGGTTAAATGATACAAGCTTTTTAGCATTCTTTTCTTAATGTAAACAACCTTTTATGATATAGTGTATACCTTGTTTGAATTAGAAAGTTGGTCTAAGATAGAAATCAAAGAACTTATGCTTTCTAAGAATTGCTTTTAAAAAGGATCAAACTTTTTTTTCTTGCAGGTTACTAATGGACAAATCAATATTTTGATGATCCTTTTTTTATCTGCCAATAATAAAAAAGGGAACGCAAAAAATACGAAATAAATGCAGTGAAACCTCTCTAAAATGAAAATTGAGCATATAAAGAGGATATGATCTTCATATATTTAGTGCTGTGGAGCGGAGTGCACATTAATAGAGAAATATATCATACGTGCATTTAGTGAGTAAGGTCTCACCGTACTTTTAAAAATATTTTGTTGATTCATTTTTTTTTATCAGATGTTTGTAAAGAAATGGCCAATCAAATCAAGCTTTCAAGCCCTATAACTTTTTATAACCTTTTAATAAAATTAAAAAAACAGGTTTTCAACAAAATACTTTTACCTAGCTAGATAAAAAACTTTTATAAAAAAACATGCAAGTAAATTTATCAGTCGCATGAGTGATCGGTGCCGTTAAAGAAATGAATAATATTAAAAGATCGTCAAATAATGTCAAATACAAAATAATGTCTTGCTTTATTTATATATGTATATATAATTTAAAGCAACCGTTACAAAATTCTTCGAAGTCACGTACATTGTGAAAAAATTCAAAATTATGTTGTGATTTTGGGGTAAATAACCGAAGTCATGTTAGACCCAATAAATCTGTCCGACTACCATACTTTTTTCCGAGTCAATCATCCCATTCGAAATAAAAAAATTTCCATAAATTGATCTTGCCGGGTTACGCCATACCGAAATTTGTCTCACGTAATCATTGTTTAATTGTTTTATTTCCATTCTCGTAAACCAAAAAGTCATGCTACTAATTTCAATAATTTAATTTTTTTATTTCCGTGAAATCATGTCATCGCATTAAATGAATTTCCCATTGAAATAAAGGATGAACAACTCAATAAAAGTTAATATGAACAATAATAATAATAAAAAGGATACTTACATACTTACGTTCTTATAAAAAGAACTTTTGATGAAATTGCTTTGACCTTTTAATTTCGTTTTTGCGGACGATGTCACGTGAATTATAGCGACCGGCATAATTTTGGTTTTATTTTTAGACGTATGTATTAATCGAACAAAGAAGAAATTGTTGTTTACTATTTCATAATATTCTGCATATTAAATTGTTACAATAAATAAATAAGTAAGTTACGAATAGATTGCAATTAATTTTATGATATTTAAACAACGTAAAAATTTTAGCTCAACAAAATATCCACAGTCATTACTTTGAATTTCCTAAATTATAATGAAGATAAAACATTATTATTTAATCTTTTCCCTTTTATTGGCGGTTTCAACGAATTGCGCCTTAATCCCTAATACCAAGGTCGTCACATATCCCGAATCCAACGAGGAATGCGCTTTGGTAGAAGGAATTACTTACAACATCGTGCATGTTCCTTCAAACATAAATCTAGACAGCGATGGTAAAAAAGTTGAGATTAGTTCACCTGAACATAATTCCAAGGATAACCCGTTTCAATATTGGATATTGCGAAAAGCCAACAATGTCATGTATCCGATTGACTTTGTAGTATATAATATCATACATGCTCAAACGGGTTTGAATTTAGACTCTGACAATAAAATAATTGGTATTAGTTCTCCAAAGCATAACTCTGTATCAAATGCTTATCAACATTGGTTGATAATAAAGAATGGTATCAACGCATATAACATCGCTCATATGATGTCAGGACTTATGAATTTGGATAGCAATGGAAAAAAAATCTTGGAGATTAGTCCCCCCGAACATAACTCTAGGTACAATCTTTATCAACAATGGTCATTTATACCGAGAAATTTCAAGCTCACTGTTAATATAACGGACTTCATATACCCTGCAGATCTAACATATAATCTGGAAAAGTACAAGACTCGAACCAGCCTTTTTGCCGGTAATTATGTAATTCAAAATCCAACGAAGGCGGTTGTGGAGCAAACCATTGATAAGACCGAAACAAAATCCAATAATTATACTGTGGAAATCAAAAGAACACAGTCTGTCACCGTTAATGAGCAGGATACCATAACGGTAAATATTGGTGCGATTCTTAATAAGTTAAACATAAATACCTCTTACCAAAAAGGAATTACGCATTCCGTTACGAAATCTTTCGAAGAATCATACAAAGATTCAATATACGAAGAGGTTTCGTATCATATTCAACACAAGGTTACGGTGCCACCACAAACCTCAATAACGGTTGATGCTACGGTGGATAAGGTTAATATGCAAATACCATTCACAGCAAAAATTCGAATCACCGCCCAAGCGGATAGGATGGATGAGAACGGGAAATTAGTTCCAATGGTTGACGTTGACACAAATTCTTTTGCATGCTATCTTAAACAGGAAAATTATGATGCGACAGACGCAATAGTGGAAGGGAATGCCCTAGTCGTTAACACAAGTGGTATCTTATCAATAGACGCTTATGGGTTAGATTCAAGAATTATTACAAAAGAAATGAAGCAGTAAAATGATTTATGAAGAATTGTTTTTAATTTTAGAGCATGTGGGTTTAATGCTAATTTATCAAGTTTAAAGCTATCATATCAACAAATCAATTGTTTTTTGATATCATAAGCTGTTGGAAAAAAAAATCGTTGAAAAATTAAAATTCAATTGCCATTTCGGGAAATGATTGCGGGCAGGGTTTTGGCTTGTGTGGCACAACTCTTTTTAAATCACACTTTTTATTATTCAAGCGGAAATTGTAATATTTATTAGTTATAAAACGTTAGATATTCTATAATTACCGGCTATTAAATTTAGCCGCCCGAACCCTCCATTCTTTAACATAGTGAATAGACACCATAAACGACATTAATTCTTAAACATTACTCATCATCATATTTATTTTCATAAAAGTAAATTAAAATAAAATAAAAATACAATAAACTAAAACACGTTATAAAAAAGATTTCTTTAATCAAATAAAATTATAATAATTATTGTAAATTAAGTATTAGATCATTAGATCGCAAATAAATTGTTATGTCTGTTCTTCTAGCAGCAAAACATTTCCTTTTCTTCTTGATCTAGAATTTCATTCAATTTGTTGATAAAAATCAAACAAGAGACTCCTGTGGGTGAGAAATGGCAATGTTAACTGCTATAAAAAATTCGATATAATTATTATCATATAATTTATATAATTGTTACTGTAAATATGAATCAAATAATTAATCTGTAATAATTGCATACACGAAGGTTTTTTTCGAAAATCGATATCAATTTCACATGAAAAATAGTTTCTATTGTTCAAAGAGAATCTCTTTTTTTTGATTGAAAAATTTTTTTGGAATCAAACAGCGATCAGTATTTCTAAACAAATAAATTTGACAGTTTATTTAATGAATTTTTTTGTAAAATGAAATCAATTCTGACATCAAATGCCGTAAAATAAAACAAATTGATCTGATATCAAAATGGCGTAACAAACAGAAGTATTTATATGAGGTCTATCCTGAGGGCAGAACTTCAGATGCAAATTCCTATATTTTCATAAAAAAAACTATATACAGTGGTGTGCAAAAAAAATGGCTATTTTACTACGTCAGATCATCATTTTGTAACTTTCTTCAATTTTAATCATACATAATTAAGATATAACTTTCAAGTAAAACTTTTCCTATACCTTAATAAAATTTTAGCTTATTAAACTTTAAAGTGATTTTATCTAGACAAAAAATTTAACATTAAATGAGATTACATTTCTTAAGGCAAGAAGTATACAATGCTACTAAAATATACTCATTCATAAAGATTAATATAAAACTACTACTAAAAACTTAAAAAAATTGAAATAAATTAGAGACTAAATGTAAAAAATTCTTTATCAAGATAGCATTTTAATCATTTTATTAAGTAATTTGATATTTTACTAATTTTTTTTTGAAAATAGTATTTTAAAGGTCATGGATTATTCTTTTAATAATCTAGATCCAAAACTTATTAAAAACTATTACCTTAATTATTAAAAGGAATGTAAAGTTATATAGGCTAAAAAAATTTAGTAAATTAAAAGTTTTTTGAATAAAAGTAAAAAATAATAAATACAAAAAAGCCTTCTAATTGATTTTATAAATTCAATTTATGATATTATAACATGATTATTGGAAAAAAAATGGTAAATAAATACCATAATTTTTTTTAAATACAATTTATCACTTATTAGCTTTAAAATAATATATTGTATGTTTTAATTAGTGTAATATTTATATAACTATAATAATTTTAAAAATTGCCATTTTTTTTGATCACCACTGTATATTGATCGTCATAGCCAAATTTGGCGCAGTCAAAACCCAAGGGCTACACTAGTTTTACATCGGAGCGATAATATTTTTACATTACCATAATGTTGAATATGATAACATCCAAATAATTTGTAAACAAATCCTTCACAACTCTAAAGTCATATCTTTTTACTATTTACTATCTTGCAGAAGAAAATAAATATATCTTTGACGTATTGGTAATAATGTTTTCGTTTTGTCCGCAGAAATATTTTCTAATATAAATGAAGTACGGTAAGTCATAATCTTAATATTTATGAAAATTCTAGATGTATCATACGATCAATATTGATCAAACTAGGCGTAGTATAAAATAAACCGCCAATAATTAGAATGGTCAGTCAACGTGAAATGACGCCAAAAATTACCGCTCAGGAACATGTCAAAAATGTTTCCATGTTTAATAAATTCATCACCAATCAGCAATCTTTTATATATAATTTAGTTGAAAGTGTTTGTTTGAAATTACGCGAAATATAGGCTTCTATTTTAAAACAATAATTTCGTTTTATTTTACAATGGTGATCTTTTTTTTTTTTTTAAAAAAAAAAAGCCATACATGTCCGTCGGTGGCGGATTAAATGCAATTGGGTTTGGTTTTTTTTAACAATAAATTAAAGATAAATTAAGACTTTGGAAATAATAATCCTCGCTCTGTTTATAAAAGGTGTATTATGATTAAGACTTTGCGGTAATCATTAATAAAACGTTTATGAAACACACAATTTTTAATAATTTTGGGAAACAATTAAAAAAGAAATTAATGAAAAATAATTTTTTTTATTTTATTTAGTTCTTTTTTGGAGAATTCTTAAATTATTATTTTTTGAAATCTTGAGGGATTTGAATAACAAAACAGGAAATTGATCTAGAAGTCAGCAACCAGAGTGATGTATACCTTCTTTAAATTAGTAAGGTTGGAAATAAATACTTTTTTAAAGCTATGATCCACCTTCACGTGACTGAAGATTCCTTAACATTCACTATAACTTGATTTTCGCATAAATAAGCTCATTAAATTACATCAATACCTTTTATTAAAAGATGATTTATTTGCCAGAATAATAATGAGCTTTTAATGCAATGATATGGGGCCTTTAAGATAAAAAAAGGAAAACCCGCTGGGAAATTAACAACGATTTAATTCAATATATTTGCTTTTTTCCGTCCCTTTTTTATTGCAAAGTGCTAATTTACTCAAAGGTTAAACCTTTTGATTGTATATAGCTTAATTATGAAAAATTATAAAAATTTTAAAAGACATTTTCATTTTCGCTTTTAAATTACTAAAATAATAATATTATACCAAAAAATAAAAAAAAATCGACGAACGCTTTTATTCAAATACAGGTTCGATCAAATTGAAACTTTATATTGAAACAAATGACTTATAAGTTCTGACTACATATATTTTATTAAGAATTTGAAATTTCAGAATTTGTTAGTTAGGTTTTACTATGTAATAAATAATATTTAACGAATTTCCACTTTGCGATCGAATTATTTTTGTGCAATATATAAAAAAGGAAGAATTTAAGGAAATCTGAGGTACCTAATTTATTTAATTTTAAATTTGATATATCCATCCATACATATAAATTTTAAAAAATACCAACATATAAAGCGTTGTTGCGCCTCACATTTTATTCATGATTGACAATTTACAGAAATGCTATTGTTTAGATGCATTGCAAATCCGCAAACTTACATGACTATGAAATCACCTTATACAGAAATTTTATAAAATACTTTATTATATGACGTTGTTATATTATCATAGAAAAAAATTTAAAATAGGAAAAGTGAATATAACAGGTTAGACAATTTTAAGACGAGGGATTAACACATGCTTATTCTCTAAAAAGAAAGAATAGGCTGAAATATACTTTTTTTTATAATAAAAGGTTTTGTCTTTGAAACTATAGCTTTGAAAATCTCCTACCTTGTCTAAATTTAATTACTTAACGTCCTAAAAATTTTAAATTTATTCGTAAAAATGGTTACAACAAACATAACAGAGCAAAGAAAAAAGAAAGCTGACGATGGAAATCAATCGCAACTAAACTCTTTGTTGAATGAAATAGGTTGTAACGATTTAGATCATTTAAGAGAATTATTAGCTGGACAGAAACTTACAAAGATATTAGCAGAATTAGATGACCAAAGACGAAACGTTCAAAACTTAAATTTTGATTTAACAAAAAAAAATGAAGAATTATCAAGGTTAAGTTCTCAATTCAAAATTTTTGAAGAAAAGGCTGAAGTCAAAGCCAAACAACAAGAAATTATTAAAGCTTTAGAAGAAAAAATTGAAGAACGTGACAACGCAGCTAAATCTAAGCAAGAAACCATTATTACCTTGGAAAAAAAGATTAGAGAGCAAGAAGAAAAAATCAAAGCAGGTATCAGTTATGATGATGCTATCAATAGTTTGGACATTACAGGATCCAATAAAGATGACATATCAAACACTACAGAAGGATTACAAAGATATCGAAAATTAAGAACTCTGAATTATTCTTATACTCAAATAACTTGCCTGCCAAATTTACCTAAATCCTTGGCAACTCTTTATTGCAGCAGTACTAAAATAACCTGCTTACCAGCTTTGCCGAACACTCTAGAGGAACTTTATTGCTATAGAACTCAAATAACAAGTTTACCAATTTTACCTTTTACTTTAAAAGAACTCTATTGCTACAACACTCAGATAACTAGCTTGCCAAATCTACCCGGATCCTTAAAAACTCTTCACTGTTCTGATACTCAGATATCTATCTTGCCGACTTTACCTAAATCTTTAAAAGAACTCTATTGCTACAATACTCGAATTACTAGCTTACCAACATTGCCTAAGTCCTTAACAACCCTTCACTGCTCTGACACTCAAATAACCACCTTTCCAACTTTACCCAACTTTTTAAAAGAACTCTATTGCAATAGCATTCCAATAACAAACCTTCTAACTTTACCTAACTCATTAACAACTCTCCACTGCTCCGACACCAAAATAACTTGTTTATCATTCTTACCTAACTTTATAAAAGAATTTCATTGCAATGGAACTCCAATAACCAAATTGCCAACTTTACCAAACTCTTTATCAATTCTTCATTGCAAAGATACCTCGATAATTAGCTTGCCACCTTTACCCAACTTTTTAGAAGAACTTCAATGCTCTGATACTCAGATAACAAGCTTACCAATGTTACCCAATTCCTTAGAAAAACTTTATTGTTATAGAACACCGTTAACTAGCCTGTCAACCTTACCTTACTCCTTAAAAATTCTCAAATGTGATAATTCTAAAATAAGCAACTTGCCAACTTTACCTAAATCTCTAAAATTACTTCATTGTAATAATACACTAATAACTAGTTTACCAACATTACCTAACTCTTTAGAGGAACTTCATTGTTTTGAGACTCAAATAACAAGTTTGCCAACTTTATCTAATTCCTTGACGATTCTCAATAGTTCTAATACTCAAATAACCAAATTACCGGATTTACCTAATTCCTTGACATATCTTAATTGTAACAATACTCAGATAACTAGTTTACCAACTTTACCGAATTCCTTAACAACTCTCTCCTGTTTTGATACTCAACTAGTTAGCTTACCAATTTTACCCAACTTTTTAACAACGTTATATTGTAATAACACTGAGATAACTAGTTTACCAATTTTACCTAATTCGTTAAAAGAACTCTATTGTTATTACACACAAATAATTAGCTTACCAGATTTACCTAATTCTTTAACAATTCTCAATTGCTCATATACTCAAATGATTAGTTTACCAACTTTACCTAAGTCCTTAACAACTCTTTATTGTGAAAATACTAAAATAACTAAATTATCAAAATTACCTAAATTATTAACAACCCTCTTTTGTTTTGATACACAAATAACTAGTTTGCCGGTTTTGTCTAACTTCCTAACAAAACTTTACTGCAATAATACCAATATAACTCGTTTACCAATTTTACCTAATACTTTAAAAGAACTTTATTGCTATCATACCCAAATATCTAGTTTGCCAGATTTACCTGACTTTTTAACAATTCTTAACTGCTCTTATACTCAAATCAATAGTTTACCAACTTTACCCGATTCCTTAACAACTCTTTTTTGCTTTGATACCCAAATAACTCAATTACCAACTTTGCCTAACTCTTTAAAAGAACTTTATTGCTATTATACTCTTATAACTAGTTTGCCAACTTTATCTGATTCCTTAGTTACTCTCAATTGTTCCAATACTCAAATAACTAATTTACCAACTTTGCCCGATACTTTGACAATTCTTATTTGCAAAAATACTCGAATAACCAGCTTACCGGATTTACCTAATTCCTTAACAACTCTTTATTGCTCTGATACTCAAATTACCAGCTTACCAACTTTACCAAATAGTCTAATAGAACTTTATTGTTATAAAACACAAATAACTAATTTACCGATCTTACCGGACTATTTAACAACACTTGATTGCACTCACACGCAGATAATTAATTTACCAACTTTACCTTCCTCTTTAACAAAACTTAATTTTGAAAATAACTAATTTATCAAACTCTTCATCCTTTTTTATAACTTATTTTAAAATCATAGCTTCTTTATTATTGAATTTATTTTTTACTTTGTTAAATTGTTTTATTCGAATTGAATTACAATTTTATTATTTTAGTAAATTATTCAATAATAAATTATTTTATTCATTCTATTAAGTATTTTTCAATATATTGTGAAGTTTTATAGTTATATAATGCAATTTATGGTTAGCTTGTCTCAGTTATGTAAAAAATAACAAATCATGGTACCCGACTTGTGCAGATAATAAAGAATGTACTCACATTTAAGATTGCCTATCGAATACCACCATATGATTTATGTAAGCCGCAGAAATTTACAGTGGTAACAAGGCACGTGCTGACGATTAGATATCCAAAGTTTTCTAGGCGAATATCAAGAATGAAAAAATGTCCGAGATGCTTGATTGGGCTCTAAAAAATGGAGGATGATTAGCAACGTGATGAAGTTCTTTTAAAATCTATTCAAGTGTTACTAACAAACCTTTTATTTTCAGATCTTTTCTTATGTAGCAATTTTTGCAATTTAGATAGATGGTGTAATGGTAAGTTTGAAATATTTCGCTTGGTTTTTCGTTTTATTTAAGCAGAGCGTGTAAAAAGATCAACTGATGAAAATTTCCTTCTTTATATGTTTTGTAGCGATATACACCGCATGATCTTGGATCGGCAAGTATGATCGCATCACGAAAATCTGGTTCAACGGCCCTTTACATATGGACCGACATTTGCGGGAAAGTTATACTACGGCTATGAATTTACGCAGTGCAAGATAGTGGATAATCGTGAATTTTCTTAACATTAAGAAGTACTATATGATTTAATCTGTACCCCGGTCCAAGAATCGATTCGGATCTGGCATAATTGTTTCGAATTATGGACCTTGTAAGGAAATGGCTTGAAGAAACATCATTAATGCATATTTGCGAAATATAGATCAACAGATCTCTTATTCTTATCATTAGATTAATCTTAATATTGAGATCCCAGATTAAATTATGAATTTTCAAGCAGATCCCATGACCCACTGCAAAAAATAACACGTTACGTAAAAAGATTCTTATTTTTAACGTTGTTGACCTGGGATTTCCTTTCTTTCTCAAGTCAGCAAGCTTTATTAATTCTTTTTTTAAATTTGTCCAATATCAGATTTATTTAGCATTCAATTATTACGATTCACTAGTGTAGTTGGTTATCGCATCAAATCCTTTAAAAAGACACGAAGAAGATTGAAAGGGTAAAATATACAACTTTATTAATTTAGAATTCTACAAGCCTTTTCTTTAGACTTACTAGAATAATTGATTAAATCTTTTTGAGAGAAACTTTTTATAACCTTGCTATTTTCTCTGTTGATAACGAGATCGAATTTCCGAACTATTTATACAAATCGTTGTTTCAATTAACTAGCAAATATAATAAATAAGCAAATGTAATAAATAAAATAAAAAATAAAAATATAATAAATAAAACAAATAAATAAAATAAGTTTGATATGTGTAATATAGTAGACATATTTGATATTTTCGATATGCTCCGCAGCTGTTGCGCCAATCGTAACATTGACAACAACGTACAGTGGCGCTCAAAAGATTTGCATCACTTAAATAAAAATGTTAAAATAAAAATAATTTTTAATATAACGCCCGAAAACTTATGTAAAAGGGCTCATTTTATTCGTAAAATCCGGCAAAATACATAATAAAAACTTTATTTTATAATTTATAAAAAAATTGACCAAAAAGTAAAAATTTACATCAATCTA